GTCCTGGGCCTCTTCCTAGCAGGTGTCCCCCTCTTGGGTAAGGTGGGCTGAGGGAAGCGGCTGAGGGGACTCTGTCCTTGCTTATGAGCCCTGAAACTCGAGGGACAGGGTGGAGGAGTCCTTAGGGCATGATTTAGCTGGACTGTGCCCCATGGTACCCCATCAGGCCTGAGGGTCACTCCTCATCTTCTTACAGGTCATTCCCGGGACAGCTCACAGCTTCTTCCTCCCCAATGAACTGCAGGCCTGAGGACCGCTGCAGTGGGGGTGACCCCAGCACATGCCAGGGAGCCCAGCATTCTGTGTGAGGAGGTCCTTTGAGGTGCATCTTTTCTGTCCCACTTCTATCCCTGTTCCCCAAAGCCCTCTCTTCACACTGGCTGATCCTGAGACAGTGAGTTGGGCAGGGGGATTCTCCATGGCGACCAGGGGGTAGAGGAGCCCCTCAGGGAGGCTGATGCCCAGGGGTGGCCTGGGAGCCGCGTCCAGGATGGTAGGCAGTCTCTGCTGTCCACACACAGTGCATGGTGGCCATCACACTTGTGAGCTATGCAGTGGTCTCCACCACCCAGTGCAGTGTGCACACGCATTGCAGGGGGAAAACTTGCCTCAGCCTGGCCTATGGTTGCCACCACTGTGTGAGTTCATTACATTTGAGGGCCTCCTGTTCACTATATTCTGCACTCCTCTCTTCTAGATGTTTTCTTTAATTGGGATCGCAGAGCGTGTCCTTCTGTTATCTACTTCGTTCACTTGGTGTCATGTCTTTTGTTGTCGTTGGACACCATCCAGTCAAGTACAACTCACAGTGGCCCTATGAACACCAGATCTGAACCCTGTTCTACCCTGTGCCAACCTCACAATCTCTGACACATTTGAGCTCATTGCCACAGTTACTGTGTGATTGAGGGTCTCTCTCTTCTTTGATATCCCTCTACCTTTCCAGGCATGGTGTCCCTCTCCAAAGAAAAGCCTCTTCAACATGCCCACAGTATGTGAGATGAAGCTTTATCATCTCTGCCTCCAAGGAGCACTCTGACTGCACTTTCTCCAAGACATATCTGTTTGTTCTTTTGGCAGTCCATGGGGTCTTCAGCACTTTCTTCAACACCACAGCTCAATGGCATTAGTTCTTCTGTCAGCCTTATTCATTGCCCAGCTCTCAGCTGCATAGCAAGTGACTGAAAAGACCCTGTCGTGGAATACCTTAGACCTCAAATCTACATCATTGCTCCTCAATAATTTGGAGAGGTCCCTGACTACAGACTTTGCCAGTGCAATATGTCTCCTGATCTTCTGACTGCTGTTGTTTCTTGTTTATCCATATCATAACATGTAGCATTTCCCTTCAAGACTGACTAATACTCTATTGTGTGGATAGACCACATGGTGTTTATTAATTATTGATTTATGGGCACTTGGGTTGCCTCTATGACTGAGTATTACTCCACTGTGTGGATGGACCACAGCATGGGTATCCATCACCTGCTGATGGGCACTTGGGTTGTCTCTCTTCATGGCCGAGAGAGACTCTGTTGTGTGGATGGACTCCACCGTGTCTGAATGGAGGCCAAGGTGTGATTCCATCACCAGCTGATGGATACCTGGGTTGTTTCTCTTTATGACCACATTGTGTGTATTTATCAACTGTTGATGGATATGTGGTGTTTTCACCTCATTTCATATGTCTTCTGTGACCAGTAAATCAAGATCGCACAGAAATCTCCAATTCACTTTCTCATTTCTTTGCTAATTCATACATTCGTCTCATTAGTTCACGCACCCACTCACTCACTAATTAATACATTCATTCATTCTCTGATTGATTCACTCATTCATTTGTACATTCCTTCACTTTAATTCAGGATAAAATTCTTTCTGCCGCTTCTACCTCAGTGGGACTTGGCCCAGCAGGGTTCTCAGGAGAAGCTGCCCCACCTGCTCGCCTCTGAATCTCCAAAGGGAGACCCACGCCTGCTGCAGGGGAGCAGGGCGGTCTATGCAAGTCCCCATTAAAAACAATTTGTACCACGCTCATGTTCTTCTCCAGCCATTCCCAGTGGCTCCTCTGGCAAAATTCTGCCCTACTTACGGACGTAAGCAGCCTACCTTTCCCCTGGAAGTAAAGCCTTACCAGTCAGGGTTTTATTGGAAGCTGTTTTCTCCATTCTTCTCAAGACCAGAAATGCCTGGGTTCAGGCAGGCCTGGTCGTTTTCTGCTAGTAAGCTCTGGTGGGTAGGTGCTCTGAGGAGGGGGCTTTGGGGTGCCTCTCAATGCCATCTCCTTCCTCCCGGTGCCATCTCCATCCTCCCAGCACCATCTCCGTCCTCCCAACGCTGTCTCCATCCTCCCGGCGCTGTCTCCGTCCCCCTGGCACCATTCTCTCTATTGTCCATCCCCTTAGCACAGTCATAGCCGTGGTGCTCCCAGCACCTCCCGGCGCCATCTCCATCCTCCCGGCACCATCTCCATCCTCCCGGTGCCGTCTCCATCCTCCCAGCACCTTCTCCATCCTCCCAACGCTTTCTCCATCCTCCCAGCACCATCCATCCCCTCGGCACCGTCCTCTCTATTGTCCATCCCCCTAGCACAGTCACAGCAGTGATGCTCCCAGCACCATCTCCACCCTCCCGGCACCGTCTCTGTCCTCCTGGCACCGTCTCCGTCCTCCCAGCGCCGTCTCCATCCTCCTGGCACCGTCTCCGTCCTCCCAGCGCCGTCTCCATCCTCCTGGCACCATCTCCGTCCTCCCAGCGCAGTCCTCTCTATTGTCCTTCCCCTTAGCACAGTCACAGCAGTGGTGCTCCTCTGGAAGACTAACACGACCACTCATCTTACCTGTCCTGTTTCTCAGCATGTGAGCACAGCAGACCCCACGGCCTCCTAGGTCTTGTTCATCTCTTCAGGAGTCAGCCTTGGGTCTGATTCTCTGCTGGCCCCCACAGCCCCACTCCTTCTCCTACCTGTCCCCAGTGTGGCATCTCTGGTGAACAGATGGGTAGTGAACTGATGGAAGGTGGATGATGTCTCTGCTGGAACCTGATTCCTGGACCCTGGGGCTGGGGATGCCAGGCAGGAGATAGTCTGAGCCTGTGACTTCCTACTCCAGCTCCCAGACAGCCTTGAGCAACCTCAGATACTCTGTTGGGGTCCTAGGACTGGCCTGTTCTTGGAGCACAGGCCTCCCATGCCCACAGCAGGCCACCATTACTGGCAAGTGGACCCAAGTTTTGGTTCTTACAGGAGATAGCTTCCCCATCCCCTTTGCCCATCCACCCTGTGAATCACTCCTGGGCCCCACCTCCATCACCCCTAGGGCTGGACCACGGTGGGGTAGGGGAAGCAAGTACATTCTGGGTCTGTTTAGGAACCTGGGGCACCAAAGAATAATAAGTTCAAGGTTGAGGACAGGAAGTTGAGACCATTTCCCTGGACCAGAGTGGACACTGAGGTGATGCTGAGGACTAGGGTGGACATTGGGGTAGCACTGAGGACCAAGGTGGACACTCGGATGATGCTGAGGACTAGGGTGGACACTGGGGGGATGTGGAGGAACTCTGTGGGGATCACTCTATCAAGAAGCTTTGGTGCGCAGTTGGGAGAGAGTTGTGCTGGTGACTCAAAGGCAACACTTCCTGGTGGTTCAAATCTACCCAGTTTCAGGGGAAAGGTATAATTTATAGCCTCGAATCACTTCTAGAGGGACAACTATGAGCCAGTTCTAACTCAATGCAAAACTTAGTGATTGGCTACAACATGACAAAGTACAACCACAGCCTCAGCTGTGGCCTGCAGAGACGGAGGTGCGGCCCTGGGTTGGGGAACAGGCCTGGTGGGATCTGCTCCGGTGGACTGGACTGGTCTGACTTCTGGGGCATCTGAACAACTTAGCACCCAAGGACCCCACTGAGCCTCAGCCTCCCGTCTGTGAAACAAGGGAAGAAAGTGCTTTAGAGCCATCAGCGACCTCCGTCAAACCCGGTACCTCACGTGGTCAGGTCAGTGTCCCCAGAGTGGTGGGTGACTGACTGGCAGCAGAGGGACAGACCACCCAGGGGAGGAGAGGCCCCACTGAGAAGGGAGTGTGGCTGCCAAGGTCTCCCATGCTTGAGGGACTGTCTTACTCAAGAAGGGACACGAGGAGCCTCCTGCAGAGACTCCATCCCATCCCCCATGAGGGGCTGGTAGGCCAGCAGCACAGTGAAGGCTGAGTAGGGGCACTGGGGAGCCCCTGACTTGGGGTCCCCATGGGAAAGCAGGCCCCATGTCAGCACTGGAGCAGAGCCAGTGGTGGGGCCCTGAGCCAGAGCTGGGCCTGTCACAGTCCCCAGTGAGTAAACACTCAAGCCACCAGGTGATAGGATATGCAGGGTGATACTGTTGCCTGCCTATGATCACTAGGTCTTTGCTGGGCCTTCAGAGACACATCTAGAGTGGCCAGCGGCTGTTCTCTGCCCCTACACCCAAACCCGCAAGACTGGTTCAACCCACCGCTTCCCAGCCCCGTTTACCCAGAGGCTTAGCCATGTCTGCGGCCCAGACTGGACTTTGGAGACTGGGCAGGAGACATTCTGGAGGTGTGATGTGTTAGGTTGGACTGCTCAGAGGCCAGTTGTTTGAGCCCTCCAGTCACTCCAAGATGTGGCATCTGTTTCCTGAGATGCCAGCATCAGAACTGAGAAGGCCATTTGACTCTGTCTAGAGAGGCGCCGGGAGTCAGAGTTGTGGGACTGTGAGCATGCAAACCTCGAAGGCAGCCCACACACTGGTCGTACCTTTATTCCGAGTTTACCACATTGCAAAACACCCCACGGGACACTGCAAAGGTCTCTGTACTGCTGCAGTGCCCAGTGGCCCAGCACATGGGTCAATGCTCCAGCTGTCCCAGTGGGCCAGGGGAGGCCGCTGGGTGATCGGGCACTGCAGGGCAGGGCGCACAGATAGGGATGAGAGGAAGCTGCTGGACACAGTGCACAGTGCGTGGAGCTGGCACTTGGCATCACTCTGAGGTCCCACACTTGGTGCAGCCCGTCCAGGCGTCTACCTGGAGACCCTCCAGCAGCTGAGACAGGGAAGCAGGAGGGAGCCAGCTGACAGTAACCCTGTTCCCGTGGACCCTTCACAGTCTGTACACGTGTTTCTTATATACAGATAAACACTTATAAATACAAAATTGTAAATAAAGGCTTCCATCTTCAGCAATCTCTACAAAAGGGCAGACGGCTACACCATCTTAGCCCTGGGCGCAGCCTTAAAACTGAGTCCTCCTCTGGGCCTCAGTGGCTCCGCAGGTCTCAGAGTTCCCAGAGTTCTTGGCCATGTGGCCTTGCAGGACACCTTCCTGCTGGCCTGGTGGCCTGAGTGTGGCAGGCCGCTCACTACCTCACAGCTGCAGCAGTCGTGGCAGCTGTGTGGTCCGAGCCCAGGTCGTCCTCCACCACGCTGCCCAGCCCAACCTTGTCCACACAGTCCCCCACGGTGCGCAGCACCAGACGCAGTCGCCGGTCCAGCGCCTCCAAGTGCAGTGGGTAGAGCACCGGTGCCACGCGGTCCGTGCGCAGGGACTCCGCCATCAGGAGGCTCAGTTTGTACTCCTCCTTGGCCAGGAGCTGCAGCCGCAGGTAAGTGGACCGCCTGATCCTGGAGGGAGGTGATGGAGGGGAAGATCAGACTTGTGGGGGAGGAGGGGTGGAGGTGGGGGGTTGTAAGTTATGTCTCTTGGGGGCAGAGAACTTGGGTCTTGCATTAGAGGAGGCAGGTGCAAGGTCTGGGGGTTTGGGGGGGGATGCTGATCTGTGTAGAGGAGGAGTAGAGGAGATCGGAGGTTAGGAGTGTGTAGCGGGAGGTCCTTAGAAAGGGCTCTGGGAAGTAGGCTGTGCAAGGTGGCCAGGGGAACACAGGAGTGGTGTCCAGGACTGTCCTCTCAGCCATAGCTCTGCCCAGAGGACCGTACTTTCTAGGCAGGTGGCAATTTTGACATGTGTCCTCAGAGAGGGACAGATGACTGCTTCCTTCTGTGAGCTGGAACTGCGGGAGGAGGGTGCTGTGAACCTCACTGTGCTTTAACCTGGCAGCCTGCCCTTGGGTCAGTGCCTCTCAAGCCTGGGTGTAGGCACTCCCCTGCACCTGGCCAAGCAGCCATACCTGCAGCACTGCTGTAATGGTACCAGGATGGAGAGCTCATCGTGGGAGTGCTTCCCGAACCTGTGGAAAGGGAGGCATCAGGCATGAAGGGGCACAACAGAGGACACTACCTGAGGACATGTGGGGTGGGGGACATACACATAGGACATGCTTGAGGGGGACACACCCTGAGGATATTCGTGTGAGGGACACACCCCAAGGACATGGACATTAGTGTGAGAGACACACCCCAAGGACATGGACATTAGTGTGAGAGACACACCCCAAGGACATGGACGTGTGTGTGAGGGACACACCCTGAGGACATTTGTGTGAGGGACACACCCTGAGGACATGGACATGTATGTGAGGGACACACCCCGAGGACATGTGTGTGAGGGACATACCCCGAGGACATGGACATGCGTGTGAGGGACACGCCCTGAGGACATTTGTGTGAGGGACACACCCTGAGGACATGGACATGTATGTGAGGGACACACCCCGAGGACATGTGTGTGAGGGACATACCCTGAGGACACACGTGTGAGGGACATACCCCGAGGACATGGACATGCGTGTGAGGGACACGCCCTGAGGACATGTGTGTGAGGAACATACACAGAGGACATGTGTGAGAGGGGCAAACAGAGGGCATGTGCGTCAGGAGACACCCAGAAAGAACACATGTATGAGACAGCACACAGAAAGGACACGTGTGTCAGAGGGGTACACAGAGAGGACATGCAAGTGAGAAGGGCAGATGCAGAAGACACAAGTGAAGAGGCACATAGAGAGGATGCGTGTGAGACAGGCACATATAGGTGATGTGTGTGAGACACACAGAAAGGGCATGCAGGTGAGGGAGAACACACGTAAGGGGTAGCACATACAGGTGACATGTTTGAGGTGGACACACATGTGAGAGGGCACATTCAGAGGACATGTGCGTGAGCGGGGCACAAATATGTATGTATGTGAGAAGGGCATATACAGAAGACACACATGTCCAGATGTGTCACGGGTGAGACTGGCTTGATGTGAGCTTTTGGTAGGTAGAGTATTTGTCCCCAGCTATCTAGGGATGTGGGTGGGATTTGGGAGGGACAACCAGCCTCTGACTGAGGACTCGGGAGCCTCACCCTCTTCCATTGTCCAGGTGGATAATGAATGTCTCATTTCCAAACTTCTCGAAGGTCTCATAGTGGTGACGATCCATGTTTCCTGGGGATGGAGCGAAACAGCAAGTCCTGCTGAGCCCACAGCCTGGATGTGCTGCCCTGGCTCCCATTTTCTCCTGGGATGGGGCAGCCTCCCTCTGCTTAAAGTCCATGCTGCTGGGCCATGTGTAGCATCCAGGCCAGGACCTGGGGTGCAAGAGTGAACTCCCTCCTGGACTATGCATACCATCTTGCTCAGGACCTGGGGTGCAGAAGTGTACCCCTCTCTTGGACTCTATGTGTAGCATTCAGCCCAGGGCCTTGGGGTGCAGGGGTAGAACTCCTGTATCACATATAGCATCCAGCCCAGGGCATGGGATGTCCAAGCCCCGGCCCAACATACCCATGAGGAAGTCGAAGATGGTCATGTCCATGAGGTCCAGGATGCGGTGTGGGCTGTCATAGGGCGGTGTCTGCTTCACCTCCTCACAGTAGTCAGGGTCCACCTCCCACCTGCAGGAGCCAGTGTGAGTGGGGCCACCTCCTCCTCTAGCTTGATGGAACCGGGCCAAACTCCAGGGTCACTGGCCACAGGAGCCCAGAGCCTGTGAGTTCCCACTGTAGCCAAGGCCTTACCCACAGACACATTAACAATGGGAGTGAGGCCATGAGAATAGGAGCAGGAGCCGAGAGATGACCAGTCCACACTGCCCTCAGCTGGCCATGCTAGCGAGACTCTCAGCTCTGTGACCTCTAGCAAAGAGGTCTGTGGGCACACTCATGACCGTGCTGTTCTGGCCTGAAGGGACAAAGGAACGAGCAGGTGTGTGTGTGGGGAACATGTGGAGACAGAGGGGTATCGGAGCCCTGGGTGCATGCACCCCGGCTTGGGGAGAATATGCCCTCAGGGGAAAGTGTCTCGACCCATGGTGTCAGACAAGAGTGCCCCCTCTGGCCCTTCTGCCAGTGTGGCCCTGAGGAGCCCCTTGTCCATCACCCAAGGGACTTTCTCCTGCCTGGGTCTGTCCTGTCCATGTGGCCCTGAGGAGATCCTCTCCACTGCTCTGGGACACCCACCTAGGTCCCTGCCTGTGTGTCCAGCACCCCAGGGAGGCCTTCCCAGGTCCCACAATCCCGCTCACTCGGCCTTCTTGCGCTTGTGGTAGGAGCGTCTCCAGGGATTCCGCCACGTCTTCCGCTTGGCCAGCGACAGGTCGGGCAGGAAGGCAGCCAGCGAGCCCTCGATCTGGTCAGGCCTCCCACACAGCGCGTGCTCCGTGGAGCAGTAGTAGGAGCACTCTCCGTAAAAGCAGATGTTGTTGGCTGTGGGCGGCAGAGGGTGCTGCAATGACCACACACAGCTTCGCCGTCCCAGTACTCCTGACCCCTGACCAGAAAATGGGGCCCCGAGGGTTGGCAAATTGGCTAAGGAAATGGGTCACTAGGAGTCAAACAGGAACTCAGCTTCGTTCTACTCCCAAAGGAATGGTCAAGGCATTGATTCTGACTCCGCGACCCCACAGGACAGGATTCATGACCTGTGTGCCGAGTCCCAGGGGCCTGGCCAACAAGGACAATGCCGTCAATAGACAATTTGGGGGCAGCCTCTGCCCCCACGGACCCAGTGCAGGGTCGGCTGACTCAGTGTCCACTCGCCTGCGGTGAGAGGGAGACACATGCACATGGATGTGCAAGGAGGACAGCAGGGTATTGATCAGTGGGAACACCAAGGCACTCATTAGTGACAATGTCATTATTGATCAATGAGAATGACAGCAAATTGATCAGTGGGAATGACAGGGTATTGATCAATAGAAACAGTAGGATATTGATGGTGAGAACAGCAGCATATTGATCAGTGGGAATGGTAAGATACTGATTGGTGAAAATAGCAGAGTATTGATCAATCATAGTGCCAGGGTATTGATCAGTCCTAGTGGCAGGGTATTAGACAGTGAGAATAGCAGGATATTGATCAGTCCTAGCGGCAGGGTATTGATTGGTGAGAACAGAGGGTATTGATTGGTGAGAATGGAGGGGATTGATCAGTCATGTTGTTCTTGTTGATGGATTTTGAGTCAAGCATGACTCATAGTGACCCTTTGAACAAAAAGCCTGAAGCTCCTCTACACCTCTCCACATTTATCAAAGTTCATAGAGTTTCTGGAGGCATGATGTTTAGGAAGTGGATGCCACTCCTGCTTCCAAATCTGTCATAGAATGTTCTTGGTTGAGTTGCCTGCGATGTATAGTGACCCTATGTACAGCAGCTCTGAACCCTTCCCTGTCCTGAGCCAGTCTCACTAATTCTGACATGTCAACCCCCATCGTCCCAGTCACTGTATCAATCCATCCTCACTCACTTTGTGCACATGGCCAGGAGAGATAGGTCCTTGGAGGACATCATGCTCGGAAGGGTAGACAGACAGTACAGGAGAGGGAGACCCCGGATGAGATGGATTGATCAGGCATAGCGGCAGGGTATTGATCAGTGAGAACAGAGGGCACTGATCAGTCACACCCGCAGGGTATCGATCAGCAAGAATGGCAGTGTGTTGAGAATGGCTGCGCATTGACCAGTGGAAAGATCAGGACAGAGAACAGTGATGCTAGTGCTGCCTTGCTCTCCCAGAAACACCTGTGGAGTTCTAGCACATTTTTGGGGCTGTAGATGGGACATTGTTTGAAAGCAGGAGGTGTACCTGGTCTTATAAACGAGGTCAAATGGAGCAGAGAGGGTCCTAATCCTGTGCTTTCTGGGCAGTGCCCCAGAAGGAGAAGTGATGGGAGAGCACACAGAGGGGACAGCATGCAATGGCATGAGCCCCCAGGAACGTTGGGGGTGCTCCCGAGGAAGAACCTCCCACTCAGAGCTGAAATCCGACCCACACCTCTGGTTTTCAGTGGCAGCCTGCCCGGTGGCAGTGTGCGCCCAGGCGGCCCTTGCTACCAGATGTGTTGCGGGATGGAGTGTTACAGCTCCCCGTGTCTGGACATGGATGCGCACCTGCACGCCATCCGCCCCCACCGTATATGGCCTTACCTGGCGAGATGAAGAAGGTTCTCCACAATTTCTTGTCTCGAGTGACGTCTCTGATTTCCTTGGTCATGTTGATCATCCTGCCTGCCACAGGAGGGACACGGCGGAAATCCAGGATCCTGGACAGAGAGCAGCAGGACAGTGAGTTTGTGGTCTGAGGGCCCTCCTCTAATCCTTTGACAGCGCTGCTAGGGCCACCAGCTTCCCACATGGAAACCTATTTGAAACTGATGTGACCTATGAGGGAAAGAGTGATGGCCTCCAAGACCAACATAGGTATCATCTGTGAGTGTCCAAAGAACTGAGACTTGCCCTCATTTCTGTGCTCAAATGAAAATGAATGTAACAAAATCACCCACTTTTAATAGACGTCTTCCAGAACAGCACTGCACGCTGCCATGTGCCTGATGAAGCTGTGTTTGCTGAAGGGGGACTTTTCTTGCTGACACAGGTCTCTGAGATATCTCATTTGAATGACCTGTGGCAGAGGACCAGGAACTCTTGCTACAGCTCACATCACAGAATCTCCTTCCTCCCCTCTTGTTCCTCCTTCTCTCCTCCCTTCCTCTTTTCTTCTTTTCTTAATTTGAACCTACTGAAGTGTGTCAGTCACTAGCTGTGTATGAGCAGGTCTCGACTCAATGTTCAGGTGCTCGGTATACAGCAGGGGCAGGAGGGCAATGCTGTCACTCTGCTAGAAAGTGGTGGCTATGAGCAGGAGATTGATGGAAAATCAATTACCTCAGCCAATCCAATCAGCTCAGTTTCCTCATCTTTACAATGGGAAACTCCCTACGAGCTACACCGTCCAAGCTCCTGGGAGGAAGATGGACAATCTTCTCCCTCTGATTTGCTGCCTTAGAAACATGCTGAGGAGGAGTTATGAGTCGGTCCCGACTCCATAGCAACGAGAGGTTCACCTTTGTCTTAAATGGGGAAACAGTAGTCCTCACCTCAATGGTGTTATGAAAGAGAAGCACATGGTGCAGGCCCAGCTGGGAGATCCTGCACTTCTGCAACCAGACTGTGCAGTACAGTGCATGTCCTCACGGAGGGAGTCCGTGAGTTTTGTTTCATGGTGCCCGTACACGTGATGTCTGCCCTGTATTGGAACCTGCGCGGGAGCTCTAGTGACTTCGTGGGTTACCTGTATGCTGCTGCTCAATCCATCAGCTGCATTGAGGATAATAAGGTGAGGGGTCTGCCGTGCACAGCATCGCGTCAATGCAGTGAGTCTTCATTGTCATTGCAGCTCATTAAGGTGCTCGTTAAGGTGTTGTTAAATGCCTACAAGTTGATTACGACTCATAGAGGCCTGTTCTACACTATGCCCCAAATCTCCTCCATGTTCAAATCCATTGCTAAAGTCACTGCCCATGTCTCTTGTTGAGGAGTCTTCCTTTCTTTCCTTGTTCCTTCACTTTTCCCAACATGATGCCTTTTTCCAAGGACTGGCCCCTTCTGACAACATGCCCAAAGTGTGTGAGATGAAATCTCACCATCCTCGCCTACAAACACATCTGTTTTGTTTTCTGAGTAGGCCACAGTATTTTCAATACTTTTTGCCAACACCACACTTTAAAGTCATTGATTATTCTCCTGTATTCCTTATTTATTGTCTAACTTTCAGATGTCTAGGAAGCCAATGAAAATACCACTGACACAGGTCAGTGTGTGGTAGTATCATGAAAAAGTTTAACATATTGTGAGGATAACTAAAATATAAAGCAGAGACTTGAAGTGAACACAAGTAAAATATGTCACCAGTGGCCTTGCTCAAAGCAATGTTACCACCAATCTTTGACCTGTAAGTAATACAGTACCTGTAAAGTACAATATTGTGTGATGCAATTAGATGAGATGACCTGGTATCTGTACATACACCCACCACACACTAATGCACCAAGAAATAGTGTGTACATACACAAATATACACTGTGTGTATACACCACACACACATATGCGCCAAGAAACAATGTGTACATACACACATATATATGTATACACTGTGCATATCTATGTATATACAAATACACACCCCCACCTTACACATATGCACCAAAAAAGTGTATACATACACACATATACACTGTGTATTTACAGCACACACATAGACATGCATCAAGAAACAGTGTATACATAAACACATATATGCTGTGTGTGTATACAACACCCCCCAAGAAACAGTGTATACATACACACATATATATGTAATATATGTATATACTATGTATATCTATTTATGTACAAATACACACTCCTCACCACACAGACATGAACCAAGAAACAGTGTATATATACACACATATACACTGTACATACTCCACACACACAGACCTGCACCAAGAAATAATGCATAGATACACACATATATATGTATACACTGTATATATCAATATATGTACAAATACACACCCTCCGCCACACACATACACCAAGAAACACTGTACACACACAATATACACTGTGTGTACACACACACACACATATACACTGCCAGTAGTGTCTCTGGTGGCTCGGTGGTAGGAAGCTGTGCTGCAATCTAAAGGCACACAGTTTGAATTCACCTGCTGCTCCACAGGAGGATAGGCAATCTCTTCCCATGTGAGTAACTGCCGCTGAAAACCCACTAGAGTGTCAGCAATGGGTCAGTTCTAACCTGACAGCACACACCAACAACAACGTCATCAATATACACACACACACACACTGTCTATATCTGTATATATACAGATACATTTACAATGTATACATTGTGTCCACACACATACAGGCACAAAACAACAACAGAAAAGCCACTGGGGTTAGAATTGCTGTTGCTGTTACTGTCTTTGTCACAACGTGTCCCAGTCCAGCAGGTGACAGCCGCAGATGTCCACTCGCTTATCCTGAATGATCCCAGTCACATGCAGGGAGGACTCACCTGTCTAGGTGGAAGGCAGCAATTTCTGCATTGTGCCTCTCATAATCAGAGAAATAAAAGAAGTCAGGCGGTGTCTCCTGCTCCCTCGTTTGTCTGGAGGAAAAAAGAAATAAAACAGAAAGCACTTATTGCTGAGGATATCTTTGGGTCAGAGGTGCAGAGTGAGCTGGGGCTGACCAAGATTACCAGGGACTCTGAGAGTGGGCTCCTTAACAGAACCCTCTTCAAAGACTAAACAAATCATTGAGGTCAAGCGGCACTGTGCAGTCCACAAAGACTGCTCTGTGGGTATCGACTGGGTTCCAAAAGCTTGCAGGTGGCCATCTAAGGTGCAAGTGTTGGTCCCTGTCTGGACCAAAGAAGAGGCCAGGAAGCCAGACCATTAGGGAAAACAGCTAACAGACTACATGAACCTCAGCCTTCACTCTGAAGACCAGAAGAACTAGATAATGCCTGGTCACCACTGCTGACCTCTCCAGCAGGGACCACAGGAGTAGGTCCCTCACGGAGGAGGGCCACATGGAACAAACATGACCAAGCATAGAGTCTAAGGGAGTCTGGTGGGGTGACTGAGATGTGGACCTTTAGCTACCCTTCGAGTTCAGAGCTGAGCTTACCTATGTGACTCAATTTTCAGCCAAACCATGCTGTTATCCTTAGGTGCTGTCAGGTCAGCTATGACTCACTGCCTCCCTGTGAGCATCAGTCCTGAACCCTGACTCTCCTATGCCCTTTTCATCATCTCTGACGTACTTGAGCCCATCACTGCAGTCACTGCCAGCACATCTCATTGAGAATCTTCCTCTCTTTTACTGACCCTCTACCTTTCCCAGGATCATGTCTTTTCCCAAGGACTGGTCCCTCCTGACCACATGCCCAAAGTATGTGAGATGAAGGTTCTCCATCCTCGCCTCTAGGGAGCACTCTGGCTGCACTTTCTCCAAGACAGAGAGCTGTTCTGTGGGAGAAGAATGGGCAATGTCCTCCCATGCAGTGTACTGCACTGAAGGATGAGCGATGGGTCGGTTCAGACTGGATGGCACACACAACAAGGTATGAGCAGTTAAATCAGATATGAACGAACCCCTTAGAATAATCAACCAGATGAGGTCAGATGGCAGCAGTTGCCCAGGCATAAAGCTAAGAAAGGAAGAGAGCAGAGAAGGGAGTCACACGAAGGAAATGAGAGGAGTATGCCAGCATTCAGGATGCACAGCCTCCCCTCCTCACCGCCGTGGTTCCTCTCCCTCTCCGCATCACCTGCTCCACTCACGACTGCTCCCAGCACTATACTCTTCTATCTTCTGGAAGGACCCTTGTCACGTCTACAGGTGGATCAGTCAGCCTTTCCTAGAGCATGTCCACCACTCACCCCACCCCACACCTCACTCCACACATCATACCCCACACCACAGCCCAGCCCACACACCACACATCATACTCCACACTACAGCCCACTCCACCCCCCACTCAGCCCACCACACCCCACACTATACCCCAACCCTCCCCCCCACTTGCCACATCCCACACTATTCCTTATATTACACCACACACCATACCGCACACTACACCCCATACCACACCCCACAACCAGAGTCAAAATCTCTTCCACCAAGTTGATTCCCTCCTAACAATTGTGTGTTACAAAGTAGAACTGCTGATGCAGAGACACAGTCATCTGACACTTTGAATTTGGGCTCTGGTGGCTTAGGGTAAGGAATTGTGCTGCTGACACAAAGGTTTGTTGTTGTTATGTGTCGTCAGGTCACCTGCGACTCATAGAGCCTCTATGTACAACAGTCTTAAATCCTGCTCTTTCCTGTGCCAACCTTACTGTCTCTGACACACCTACTACCATTACCCCAATCACTGCATCAATCCATCTCATCCAGGGTCTTCCTCTCCTGCGCTGTCCCTCTACCCTCCCAAGCATGACGTCCCTCTCCAAGGACTGGTCTTGCCTTGCAACATGTCCAATGTATGTCAGATGAAGCCTCAGAATCCTTGCCTCCAAGGAGCAGCCTGGTTTTGCCCTCTCCAGGATGAATCTGTTTGTTCTCCTAGCAGTCCATGGTATATTTAATACTCTTCTTTAGCACCACAGCTCAAAGGCATCAATTCTCCTTCTATCATCCCTAGTCGTTGTCCAGCTTTCCAATGCTTAGTACGTAATTGCAAAGACCATGGCCTGGATCAGGTGCACCTTAGTCTCCAGACTGGCATCCTTGCTCTTCAGTACTTTGGAGAGGTCTCTGACACAAAGGTATGCGGATTAAATCCACAAACTGATATGCAGGGGAAGGATGGCAATCTCCTCTGCTGGGACTTATTTCCTCTGAAGAACCTGCTGGAGTGTCAGCTATGGGTTGGTTCTGACTTGATGGTATAAAACACCACCAACAACAATATCCTCCTCCTAAAGGTGAGAGAACAGATCTCTAATATCTATTTGCGCTATCTCTGTACAGTAGCCCTAGAGAACCAGACCACACTCGAGCTCATCTTGTCAGTCCCAGCACACAGAAGAATGGCAGAGCCCTGGATGGGGCAGCTCAACACTGGGCCAGATGCAGGGCCCATAGACAAGAAGGCTGCAGGAAGCAATGTGAGTGGAGGGAGTAACTGGCTAGAACCAGCACCTTCAAGCCAGGGGCAATCTCCTGTCTTCACCCTCTCCATACTGGCCAGGGACCTGAGGTCCCTTCCCAGAGCTCCCTGGCCACAGATGACTACTCTCTAGTTGCCACCCTCTGCAATGGCCAGTGCACTGCATCCTGTGTGCCCCACCTCCATGGCCCCCAGGCTTCTTCACACCATGACCTGCGGTGCGGATGATCTCTACCTGGACACCATCACCACTGTCTACTTCCTGTCCCTGCCCTGAAGACCTCACTGACATTTTCAGACACCCTGGCTTTTCTCCTGCACAGCTTGGCAGAGTCACACTGGGCACCATTGTTTGCTGGATCTGGGAGGAAGTGCCTGGAGGCAGGCGTGTTCTGTCCTCTTGACCCATGAAACTGGCCAAGTACTTGGCTTACAATAAGAGCTTAATAAATACATGTCTGGAAAAGAAATTGATGGAAGAATTACCCAGAGAAGAAATGAAGAGGGAACACACACACACACACACACACACACACACACACACACTCACACACCCCTCACCCCCGCACCCCCACTGGAGTGCCTTCTGCCCTCCTTTCTTCAATTTTCATCTTTGTCCTCAACGGCACTTTCACTAACACCTCCACAACCACTAATGTCATTCCTAACACCACCATCTCACCACTTCCATTACCCTTCTGTTACCACTATCTCACCATGACCACCAGCACCATGGCTACCAAAGCAACAACCATCACCATTACCATGACTACCATTCACATCAATCATCAAAACCATGACCACTATCATTATCTCCATCACCATGATCACATTGACCATCATCATCTACACCACCACCACCAGCAGCATTAGCGTCACCAGCCATTACCATCATCCCACCACCGGCATCTCCACTACCTCCACATACATTATGACCGTCATTCACATACACTAAATTTTTATTTCCTGATGCAGAGTGTCTATATTTGTGATACTTTAAACAAGTGGTCATTTCCATTTGTCAATGGCTTGGCCTTCCCCTCTCTCTCCCTGCTTTTGCCTTTCTGTACAGGTCGCACACCTAAAGTCCAGGTGGCTCTGAGCCCTGCTGTTCGAAAAAGAGCCCACACAGCTCCTTGAAGTTCCGGCAGGTTCCAAACAGTTCCTGATTCTCTGAGGGCTTGACCTGGCTATATCTCACACTTCAGGGGTTCTCACTGACTCCCCCATCCCTGCTGTGCACAGGAAGAGGCAGCTCTGTCCCTGCTCAATGTGAGGCATCTGCCCTGAGAACACATCTACCCCATGATAGTAGTGATGATGATGTTGATTGTTGCTATGGTAGCCATGGTGATGGTGGTCACGGGAGCTTGAAACTTTCTGACTGCATCTTCTTTTGTGTGCAGCCCTTCTAGGCTCTCTCACCAGAGTGTTCCAGGAAGCTTTGATGAGTGGCGGCAGAAGGCATCATTATCTATGTTTCTGTGGCCTCTCCATAACCCAAGGGCCTCCAAAATGCTCAAGGTTTCTGGGTAGGTCTCCCAAACACACTCACACCCCATGCTGACCTCCACCATCAGCACAGTCCTCTGCCTCTCATACATGAACCCCATCACCTGGGGTCCTGTAACCACTGTGGGCTGTAAGATGTACCCATCTGGGTGAGGTGGCAGACAGATTGGGCTGGTGCGAGGGAAGTATGTGGTCCTGCATCCTGGGCCTTAATAAGCAGGACAACAGCCCCATAGGGAACACCAGGACATGGAGATTTGAGGGGTCTCTGTTCCCTGGGAAGGTGAGAGGCAACAGCAACAAGAATATGGTTTGCAGCTCCTTGAGGACAGGTGTCCAGTGGTGTTGGTCTAAACTGAGGGAATCCTGGTAGTGCAGCAGTTCAGCACTCAGCTGCCAAGCAAAAATTCCACAGTCCAAACTACCACGCACTTGCAGGATTAAGATGGGGCTGTCTGCTCCAGAGAAGATTTCCGGCCTTGGGGACCTATGAGATAAACTCCTTCATCCTCCAGGACTGTTGTGGCTTGGGATCAACTCAGAAATATCTGAGGAGGAGTGAGGTGCACAGGATGGGGACAGCCTGTCCAAGAGAGGTGCCTGGTGAGGAGGTTGGGAAGCAGGGTGAATGAGGTCAACTTGCTACCCTACAGGCTTCCCTCCTCCCCCATCCTTCGGGGGAAGCTCCGTGCCCTGTTCCCCACTCACTCAGTTACACATACTAGACCACAGCGATGGCCAGTGAGGGGACCCCCTGTATGAATCCATCAGCATGTGGAGAAGGCTGTTATCTGTGCTTGTGCTAAAGTTGTGTTCCAGGGAAGGAGGGACCCACTGGACAGTCCTAGCCTCCCTGGAAAGTATCCTGGAGACTCAGGCTGTAGTGTGGAGACACCTCTGCTGGATACTAGCTTTGCCTGGACTGTTGCTTAGAGGGACAACTGCTCAGGGGACAGCTAAGGGGATGGTCGCCC